CCCCCCCCCCCCCCAGCGCCAACCTTTGCAGGAAAATTTTTTTCGGTGCCCTCTTCAATATCCTAAAGTGCCCTTGGAAGGCGGTGCCCCCCCAATCTTTTGATGCTTCCTACGCCCCTGTTTTTTCCTCACGCTTCACGGTAAAATTTTTTGGTTTTTTTCACAACTGACAGTATCAACCAAAATTGAGCAATCACGACTCAACCTCCTGAACGAACATTTAAATTTTCAAATGTTTCAAATGTTTCCGAAATATTGGCGAGGTCCACAATAATATTTCCTGGGCTTTGGATGGAAGCTTGGGGAACAAGCTACGGGAACATGGTGAAACTTCCAAAGGAACACATACCCCTCTGGAAGCTAGCCCCTAGCTCCCTCTAACCTGATAATTTTTTTTTGTTTTTTGAATATTAGCTATCACCTTGGGCTGTCATGTTCTATTGCTGTTGTTAACAGCTGTGCTGCTTGTGGCCAGCTACGACATTCTTCCAGTAGACTTCGGAAGGGTTCCGTTAAATCTTGAAAAAGACGATACCAAGCTGCGCTTTGATGCGTGGAATTTCGCTAAATACGGCGGCGCTGTCACGGCGAATCCTGCCAAAGCCGGAGCACAAAATAAACGAGGCATCACTTATCAAACATTACAGCTCGTTTATGAATACGAAAATGGAAACATCCTCACAAAAGGCAACCTACGCCAAATGCAAGAGACTGAAAATTCTGTTTTGCAAAAGAAAATTTACAAAGAAAAACTCTGTCAACTTGTGCGAGGGCAAAATGGGACGACGTTTTGCAAACCGGCCTTTTCTATCCTACGTTTCTTCGACGGCAGTCATGCAAATTTACACCCGGATTTTAATGATTCAAATTTCACCAATATTTCACGAGTGCTTATGACGGCTCGGAGTCTTAACTTGACGAAAGCATTTCTCGCTTATCACTTGGGAAAAGACGTCCGATTTGATCTGGTTAATAACATAGTAAGTTCTTCGTATTGTCGAAGTTTACTGTACATTGGCTGGCCGCTAGCAGGATACGACAACGTTCAAGAAAACGAAGATGAACAAACTGAAACGTTGGATGAATTGATCTTCACAACATTTGGTGATAGTTTGGCGACGATGGCTGAAGAGGGCGTAGGGAAGATGAACTTTTACTACACAAATACTGCATTACGTAGGAAGGCAACTCAGGAACAGGTCATCAAAGATATGCAGCTAGCAATCTTAAGTTTCGTGTTCATAGTTATTTTCATGTGGCTGCAAACTGGCTCGGTTTGGATCACAGCGTGGGCGATATTCAGTATTCTTTCCAGTTTCAATATCGCCAATCTACTGTACCGAATTGTTTTGGACTATCGTTACTTCGGGGTGTTCCACGTCCTGTCCATCTTCATAATCCTCGGAATCGGAGCGGACGATATTTTTGTCTTCACCGATACCTGGAAACAGTCGCAAGGAAAGCAGTTCCCCAGCATGGCGCATCGGTTAGATTTTGTGTACAGACGAGCGGCCAAAGCCATGTTCATAACTTCATTTACAACTATGGTTGCGTTTCTTTCAAACGTCCCCTCGCCCCTTCTCGCTATTTCTTCGTTCGGAGTGTTCTCTGCTGTCCTCGTCTTCGTAAATTATTGTTCAGTCATCGTCTTCTTCCCTGCAGTGATAATAATGCACGAAGCGCATCGCAAGGGCAAATGTTGTTGCTGTTTGCTCACGAGCTGCAAGTCACAGACGCCGGAAGGGGATGGAAATGGGACGCAGAATGAAAGAAAGAAGCTGGCCAGTTATATTATCGAATTTTTCGAGGGAACCTTCTTTGATAAAGTGGTCAGACATAAGATAACGCGTTGTGTGGTGTTGGTGTTGTTCTTCGCGCTGATTAGCGTATCTATCGTGTTTGCTGCTGGACTGAAACCGAATGAAGACCAGGTATAGAATGACTTTTTATCGTCTCCAATATCAAATCCCGAAATCAAGGACATGATTATTCTACTTCCTTAAAAATTTACACATCATCGATGCATAATCCGTTGAAATATGGCTTCTGCAGTAAACAGTAAATTATATTACGCGATGCTGTAAATTGCAAAATCAAAGAACACGGTAGGCCGTTTGCAAATTGCCTCAATGGACCATTTACATTATAGACTAAATTTTGATCTAAACAAGTCTAGACAAAAATTTCACAGCTTGAAAGAGCGTCACAAAATTAGTGATATTCCAAAGTTTCGTTGCGAAATGTTGTAAAATGCGGATAATATAGCCTTGCGAAGTTTGCCGTTTTTCAGTCATTTTGTATTACAAACGGGAAATTGACAGCCCCAAAGGGTATTGGGCTGTAAATGCAAATGGTCCATTGCTGGTTGGAAAGCATAGTTTGTACAAATATTTAGTGTAATGTTTGCCTGGTTCAAGCATGGATAATAAAATAAATTTTACAATCCACGGTTCAAGTTAATGCCTATTCTGCATTTTTGCTTAGTCAGTGCCAGTAATGCGGTATTCTTATATCGGAGTTAAATAGACAGATGTCGCAAAAACTGACCTATTGAAAATGCAGAATATACAGTAACCGAAATCAGGCCAACATTACATTAAATACTTCGACATGCAGAGTTTGTTTTGCAGCTAGCCGTTGAGGCAATTAAGTTGCAAACGACCTATACTGAGTACTGTATATTCTCAGATTTTGCGATAGTAACAACGTCGCGAATTATATAACGCGACGGTCGCGTTATATAATTCACTGTTTACAGTTGAATACATATTTCAACGACAACGTGATATGAAAATTACGACGGAAGCAGAATACATCTTTGACCTTTTCGTCAGGTCATCATCTGTTTTTATAAGCGTGGATTGAAACGAGCTATGAGAGTTGGCACTCGCAAGCTTGGTATTATGTATTCTATTGAAGTTAAAACATAGTTGGAACATTCATTAAACCATTATTTTGTTCATCTAGAGCTTGAAATGTCCGCTGTAACAATGTGTGACTGTCAACTCTCATAAACTCTCGGTCTCGTTTGATTCAACCAATAGAAATGTATCCCACGGACCAATCAGAATTCACCATTAATAAGGCGGGAAATCATTTCGCCACATTGAAAAACAATCGCTCGAAAGGCGGAATCGAACCGCTCCGACGCTAGTCGGCTACAGGTTTGAAGCCTGCACCCCACACCAGTGAGGCTCATTCAAGCATTAGGTATACGAAACACATTCGTATCTATATACATATTCATTACTCCTTACTACGCTTGTGGGAGGAAATACATCGGTCATGCGCAGAAGTACTTTTCGAAAAAATCGCTAAATCTGATCATTTTAATCCAATTTCGGTTTCAATGCAAAGGTGAACATAACAAATGTTGATATTTATATGAAAAAGTAAATTTAAGAATATATTGTTGTGTATGTTACGTAACACGCGCTCAAAAATAATGAATATACTATAATAAACCATTTGCGGTTCATTCAAAAATTTTATTTTTTCGATACGTTTCTCAATCGGCAAACTTATAAAATATGTCTAGTGCTTTATCTGTAAAATAATGCTAAAATGAAGAGATTTTAGATGGTATGCCAAAGAGAAAATGATGTCTGAAGTTCAGCAAGTTTTGCTTATATTGCTGTAAATATGGCGTCACTTTTAAAGCATCATTGATAATTGTATTTTACTATGATTGACAATTTTTAACTATTATTTTATGTTGCACAACCGGCAAATGCATTTAAAAAGGTAGCTAACTGTATAAACTAGAGAATAAAGCTAAAACACGTTGTTACAGTTCTGCAAACAAGTTTACAAATCTGTTCACAAGCTATCGACAAGTTGTGTTCGCACTGCTTGTTCCCAGTTGCTGTAACTTGTAACAAGTTTGGAACAGGCTGTTAACAACTTGTAACAAGCTTGATGGCATTATCAGACTTGTTACAAGGTTGTTCTAACAAGTCTGATACAGTCATGATATAACAAGAATGTTGCAAGGTTAACGACACCAGGTTGCAACAATATTGTTATATGATGACTGTATCGAACTTGTTGGAACAACCTTGCAACAAATCTGATAATATCAACAAGCTTGTAACAGCTGTTAACAAGTTGTTTCATACCTATTAACAACTTGGGACAAGCAGTGCGAACACAACTTGTTGACGGCTTGTTGGCAGACTTGCTACAAGATGTGTGATTTTTGCGTGCGTATGATAGTGATTAGTGAAACTTATCAGGAAATTTAAAAGCACATTTCACTGGATAAAACTAAATAAATATTGAAAGGCTTTTGTAGTTGAAAATTTCGAGTATAAATTCTACGCACTTTTAGACTTAACCAGTAGCAACTGCAAAAAATGCAACTATATAAGCCCTCTGACAGGCCTATCTACATTACTGTGTTTATTTTCACTTAGATTAAAATTTGGGGTCCAAACAGTAATTGGGCAAAAATAAGAGAACTTCAGAGTTCCAAGTTTGCCGCGAGCCAAGAGGATCGTGTTGTTAAAGTGACGATAGTCTGGGGCTTACAGAATCAAGATCGCAGCCAATGTCATCATACGGATTTCAAATGTCGGGGAAAGACCGTCTTCGATACAAGTTTTGATATGAACTCCCCGCCATGCCAAACATCTATTCTCGTATGTATAAAGAAATTCATATAAACAATTTTGACAGCTGTTGTGTAACATGTGCAAACCCGCAAACGTTTTCTGTTGTTTTGAAACTAGAAATTATGTGACAAAATGAAGAATCCTTCACCAGATGAAATTGACAAACTTCAATTGCGAAGAAACCAGGTGACAGGTGACATTGAGATGGAGTGTTTCATAGCCAGGATGGACGAATACTTCAAGGTATGGAAGACATTTAACTCCAGCTCCATAATATATCTGACCAGCTCTCCTTCTTACGTATCCATACTATCTCAGCGTTGCTTCCCTCGCCTTCTCTGTAATGTCTACCACCACACATCTTCTTCTGATCTCTTCATTCCATAATGTCTCTGACCAGTTCTCCTTCATCTCTTCTTATTACGTGTCCATACCATCTCAACCTTGCTTCCCTCACCTTCTCTGCAATGTCTACCACCCCACATCTTCTGATCTCTTCATTCCATAATATCTCTGACCAGCTCTCCTTCATCTCTTCTTATTACGTGTCCATACCATCTCAGCCTTGCTTCTCTCATCTTTTCTGGGATGCCTACCACGCCACATCTTCTTCTGATTTCTTCATTCTATAATGTCTCTAACCAGTTCTCCTTTGTCTCTTCTTGTTATATGTCCATGCCATCTCAACCTTGCTTCCCTCATTTTCTCTGCAATGTCTACCACCCCACATCTTCTGATGTTTCTATTCCTCATCTTGTTTTTCTTTTGATATTCAGGTGGAAGGAAACAAAACTGAATACCTAACTCTTCCTTTCAATAGTCAAAAAATGAAAACGTTAATGAATGGCAATCCTTTACTCTACAATGTCTCAACGCTGTCAAAAGACTATTATCGATTCTTTGAAGTTGGCGTAGGGTTTTTTTTAAGGAATGGCTCTAAATCTGCCTTTGTTAATAATTACGATTATAAAACATTTAGTAAATACTTTGGTGGGAGGAATGATATCACCAGTTCAGGCACTCACGATGGTGTAAAGTTACAAGGTACAGCATAAGGTTTTTAAATACCCACATCTTTAACTAAACTAAGTTTATTTATACTGGATAGCCTTATCAGTTCTAAACTGTTCTTGCTAAAGGTCCAGTAAGGATCATCTCTTATTGATCCATTGTTACTACTGAACTAAAACTAACTTTATTTATACTGGATAGCTCTATCAGTTCTAAACTGTTCTCCCTAGAGGCCCAGTAAAGATCATCTATTATTGATCCAATACAGTGTTACAACAGGAGGAAACCTAAACCAAACTAACTTTATTTATACTGGATAACTCTATCAGTTCTAAACTGTTCTTCCTGGAGATCCAGTAAGAATCGTCTATTGTCTTTCTCTGGAATAATCTCTCTCCCACCATTCGTAATAGTTCATCCGTTTCCTCCTTATAAACAGACTAACTGTTCATTACTCTTCTCTACTTCATTCATCTTTCGATGCAAACAGAATGCGCACTTGGAAAACCTTCTGTTCTAAGTGCCGCTCTTTCAACTTAAGCTGTTGTTCGTAATTCGTCATGTTTTCTGTAAATTTTATATTTGTTATCGTCTTTGATTTATGTTTGTTACAGTTTGTTTTCATTAAGGTTGGTCTTCATATGGGGCTATTCATGTCCTGTTGACCATACCATAAATAAATATCTTATTGGGCCAGTGTTACTTGAAGATGAAATTCACTGGAGTTCCTGATAAAAACCTGCAGTGCTTGGTAGAGTCAAACTGGAAGCGCTATTTTCACAGATGACTGAATTCTCACACTCGTTTCACCAAAACCTAATTATTCAATTTATTCCTAGAAAATGAATATGGCAACTCGCTGTTGTTTATGGCGGTCGCAGTGAACACGACACTTCAGATCTCGAATCTTGGCTACAAAACTGGGCTACCTGTACATGATAGCTGGGAAAATTTCATTGAAACTCAGGTATGTCTGTCGACATGGTGAAAAATCGAGACACTTAATGGTGACTCTTTGGTGAACGTCAAAGAAGTTGACAAATGTACAGGAACAACAAATTAATCAACACTCAAATGCAATACTACTACATGAAATGAAAAGAATGAACATTATTCTTCCGCTCTTCATTACCGTCTGCTAATAGTTAAACCCAAGGTGGACGGGGTTGAGGACTGTTTTGTTTTTATTCATAGGCGTACGGGAAGGAAATTAGGGGGCCGAACAAACGTTTCCCTGACCTTGCTGCGTATTGCCCAACCAATCAAAACTTTTTTCGCCCAATTTATAGACTTTTCAATTTTATTTATTTATTTATTTATTTATTAGGGGGGGGGGAGGCAGCTTCCACTGGTCTCGTACACCTATGGTTGTATTCAATACATGTTATATTTGTTTTATGTTTTTAATGCAGATGAAGACGATGCCACCATCTTGCAACAAAGCGTTTCAGGCAACTGTTGAAGGCTTCAATATTTGGCATTGGTTGAAAGTACAGAAGGTATGCGATGCAAAATTATTTCTACACTTCGACAGTTCTAAACTGCTCTTTTTAGAGACTCCACTAACCAATGTTGCCACAATGAATACCATTGAACTACAAGTGTAAGCGGACACCTTCGGGACCTCATCAATGTGTGCGCTTAAAAGGAGTGCCGCTTAATAGGGGTTTGGAACAGCGAATACAGCAGGAGGTAACGCCCAAGTAATTTAGGAACAGTAGTAATCAAAGGTAAACGTGTCAACAGAGGGGCTTGTTTTGGTGTGGGACTTCCCTGCGAGTTCAAGATTCGAGGAGACAGTTTTTCTTTCAATTGCTTGAAAGACAAATTGAAGAAAAGTTTGTTTTAGGAGATTAGTTCAAGTTATTAGCGTTTATACCAGTAGAAATACTGCAAAACATTAATAACAAATATGTGTCTAGTGAAGTTTCTTCAAATTGATTTTTACTACTGTTTGCGATTTGCTGTGAAAATTTAATTTAGCATATTAGTTAATTTAGCACAGCAGTGTCCGCTTCCGTTTAATAAATGTGTCTGCTGAATAAGGGTTCGACTGTGATGTTTTCCTCATCTCTTTAAGATTTTAATCAAGAACGCCATCCAAGGAATTCTCGTTGGTCTCCTTCTCGCATTGATAGTGCTGGTCATTGCAACAACCAACGTCATCGTTGGTATCCTGGCAACGCTCACCATAGCAATGATCACGTGTAGCGTCCTGGCAACCATCACGTTGTTAGGATGGAAACTTGGCGTGCTGGAATCTCTAAACATGACAATGGTAGTGGGTCTATCCGTGGACTATGTGGTGCATTTAGCAGAAGGATATATAGAGTTAGAGGGTGGTAATCGGCTACAACGTACGAAACACGCGCTGGGACACGTGGGGATATCTGTGATCTCAGGTGCATGCTCGACTCTGGGAGCGGCTGTGTTCATGTTCGGGGGAAAAATTATTTTCTTTATGCAATTTGGGATCTTTATATTCGTCACCATCGGCTTCTCTACTCTGTATTCGCTGTTGTTCTTCAGCACTGTATTGACTCTGATAGGACCACAGGGAGACCATGGCTCCATTTTGCCCGCGGTTCGGAAAGTGAAAGACTTCGTTCGAGGCAAAAGTCAACATGACGTAGATTGTGACCAGTGTAATGGGAAAGGGTATCACAACAGAAACAATGTCAAGGACACAGTCGTGGAATGATTAAAATCACAATAAATAATGTAAATAAACGCGCACTAGCCTAATAAATGTCTCTTTTTTGGTAGAAATTTAACCCGCCGTGTTGACTTTTGTATTTCTGTACATCCTTTAAGGCTGCAGTATGTTACACGTCGAGTACACACGCAAAAATGGAAAAGTTGTATTAAAGCTGCAGCAGACTTGTAGCAATGCTGTTCCAACAACTTGTCAACAGAATGTGTTCGCACTGCTTGTTAATTATAGCTTCCCAGCTTGTTGACAAGTTGCTACAAGCTTGTTGGGCTCAACAAACTTGTTACAACTTACAAGTTGTTCCAACAACTTTTTATCGTCCTGCAATTCAACAATTTGTCATCAAGTTGTGAGTGACAACCATGTAGCAATAATGAAATAATAGTTTTGTTACAACTTGTTGAAAAGTTTGCTAGAAGCCTGTTGCGAGCACATCTTGTTGACAAGTTGTGAGATTTTTACGTGTGTCATTTTTGCAACGCAATTTCGGAATTGTATGCGGTTAAAAAACTTTTTATATGTGATGAAAAATCATGTTCACTTACATAAACTTTCGCTTTGATTTTCTCGGCTAAGACAACGTTGATTTTTAAAATTACTTAAGGTAATTCCGCAGTAGTTGTTAAGACTCGTTAAGAAGATATGACAATCACAATATACCACCTTTACCCCAATATGGCGCCATCTTGACGCTCATTACGAGTAACAGCAAAATCACAACAGCCCGGTATTTATTGACGTTTTTAGCGAGGATTTTGCTTTAGTAAACCTATCTTGTAATCATTTGTGAAAAAATATTGTGTTTTGAGCAAAATGAAACTACTAACGTGTGCAATTTTGATCCATAAATGTCTTTTCCACATTTCTTTACATATTTTTCTTTGAGAACATGCATTGATAAAGGATTTTTTTTCAAGATCCAGAAATGATTTTTCTTTCAATTTCGGATATGAAGTGTAAAATGCATTAAAGAAATAAATTATCTGTTAAAAAACGGGGGTCACCGATCTTTTTAGGGAATTGTGGCATTAAAACGTGAAATACAAGTAAATAAATATACTACATACACAGGGAACCCTAGCTACACTTTTGTATGCCTTTTTTAAAAACATTGATTTTAACGTAATTCTTTGCACGAATCAGGTAACCAAAGATGTTTTGAAGTAACATAAAATTGTCATAAAATTATGATTTTTTCAGTAAACGGTACGTATAATGGATGAAATTATAAGTTATACGATGTGCGCAGTAAAAGTGCGCAATGAAAAACTGCGGAATTACCTTAAAGTCATTTATATCTGATAAAGCACTCATGCTTGTGTTTTAAATAGTACACCAAGTTCTCAATATTATAGCTAATTTGAATACGAGTTAAAATAACACGTATATACTATGATTGTGTCAGAAATTGCGTCGCAAGTTGCGGCAAAATTTGTCTCTTTAATTTCAAAACTTTAGAAAATACATATAATTTTAAATGATCCAGACAAGATTAATTCTGGGAAAACATGATCAAACATACAAGGAAGCTTGTGTCAATTCTCTGCACACATTTTTATGAGCTATCAGTACGAATTTAATTATTCATTTGGTTTTCATTTAAATCTTTCCAGATTAATTACACTCTATTAATTACGCTTATAGTTCTCTTAATTTTTCAAGAAAGATAGCAAATCATCTCATCCACAACGCCGCATCATATCAACGATAAAACTGAGACGAAGTCATTACCCAGTACTCTGCGGCCATTTGTCATTGGAACGAACGCCAGACAGTGAAAATTAGAAATTTAGCTATTTTTATTAAGGGACAGTTGGTTTCTATGGCAAAACAATAATGTCTATTCACGAAATGACTGCGCTTAGAAGGCTAAGTAAATATTGCCTAAATTAATCTCCCAAAGCACACGCAAACTGCCTGAATTATTCCATAAATTTTGTTACAGATAAGCGGTATGTCTCTAAAACTGTGGCATTGACGCATTTCAATGCACAATTGAACATTTACAGCAGGCAAGTCGCTATAAATTCGCAGTGGTCTTGTTTTATTAATAGCTCTTCGAAAATGCCAATATATATTATGTTTGCTCTGTTTGTTTTCACTGTTAATTGCTGTCTGCCTGTCGTTTTTAAAATGTACTGAGCTTTTTACGAAAGTTTACTTTTCTTTCGATTTGAACAGACGGAGGGATATAGCTACCTTTCTGTTAACAAGAACTATATTTCAAGGAGCTATTTTGAAGCTATCGTCTTGAAAAATGCAATGACTGAAGGACAAGAAAGAACGGGCCAAGATGCGATTTACGAACAGAATATGCAAATCGAAGATATCCAGTCAGATGAAACAGCAAACAAAGAAGAATTGCAAGCGGATACTGAATCTGCAGTTCCTGAAGTACAAATTTCGGAGGAAATAAAAGAACTAAGGATATGTAGGTTGTTTGTAACATGGCCTAAGTTGTTTTTTGGTGAGTGGGTGAAAGTATAGCGTGATGGCTTTGTGTTATATTGAAACTACTCAACCTAGCTAAATTACGCTTGATTTAGGTTTTGTCCAATTATCCCCATTATCAAGCTTTGCAGTGTGAATTGTGGAACTCGAAACTAGGATGAATGCTTGGTATTCAACTTACTCAATTGACAATTAGTTGATCAGATTAGCATCAAGTGTGAAATCAAAAAGTTTCACACTTGATGTAACACTCAACACAGCAAAATCTTTAAATGCCCCAAGTACTTCCGAAACTGATTTCTCACTTCTGCTTAAGCCTTAAAGGAAAGCTCTAAAAACGGTTGTAACGGCTGTATTCTAAAAGCTCACTCACACTCAATGAGTGGAGGTTCAATCAGAAGTTCTCTCGAGTGTCAATGCTGTTTTTGAATAGCTCAGGCTGGAAGCTGAGTAGTCACATAGTAAGGTATGATGACACTAACCCTCCAGCTATTCAAAAACAGCAATGACACTCGAGAGAAGCTCAGATTAAACTTCCACTTATTGAGTGTAAGTGAGCTTTTAAAATACGGGCATATAAGATTTGATACTCAATCTATTTACAATACGCTTGTTAGAAGCCGCTAAATGACGCTTGGCTATAAGCCTAAGATAAACTAGTCTGCAATATTTAATACCAGGGGTCGGTTGTTCAAAATTGGATAGCGGCGGTAACCCTGGGTTAAGATTAAGAGTTAGCCCGCTGTTTTGGTTCGGGGACATTTCAAAACTTCGAAAAATAAATTTTTTATTGATTCAAACAAGAATTCTGGAAAACTATGGCCATGTTTTTAAACATACTGTCGGGAAGTCGACTGCTTCAAAATTTTCGTCAACATAGGGCTAACTGTTATAACCGGCTTTCGAACAGTACTTTAGTGGGATTTTTTATCATTCATTTAGGACTAACGTTGGGCGGCCATTGTTTAGCGATATTCACATCAACAATTCTGTACATTGCTGGCTACGACATCCTCCCGATAGATTTCAGCGCTGTGCCGTTGAATCTCGAAGATGACCCGACCAAGCTACGAGCAGATGCGTGGAAGTTCGCGAGCGAGAGCGACGCCGTCACACTCAGTTCTTCAGCGGTCAGCGGTAGTGCGCAGAGAATCGTGCGCTATCAGGGCCTGGAACTAGTTTACGAATCACAAGAGAAAAACATGCTCACAAAAACGACTTTAAAACGGATTCAAACTCTTGAAAACGAACTACAGAATAACAAAATTTGGAATGAAAAGCTATGCATGTTAGGTCCCACACAAACTTGCCGAAAACCTACTTCAATTTTACGCTTTTTTGACGGTACATATCAAAGTCTTCACGAAGATTTATTTGATCCAAATTTTGACAATATCCTTCATGTCTTAGTAACCGCACAGTCACTAAATACGACCCGATCTACTCTTGCTTATCACTTGGGAAAAGACGCAGCGATTGATAATCTAACTCAAACAGCGCAATCGAAATATACCCGGTCTTTAATGAACATCGCATGGCCTTTGGACGGTTTCAACAGCACTTTAAACCAAAAGGAGGAACAAACAGAAAAGTCAGACTCTTTAACCATTGACGCTTTTGCGGATAAACTCAAGCGCACTTATACAAAAGGGCTACCAGGGATTAAATTCTATTATTATAACCGTGCAATTTATGTTAATGAGATACAGCTACAGGTTGTTTGGGATTTCTTGCTAGCCGGAGGGAGTATGGTATTCATTTTTATCTTCATGTGGTTCCAAGTTGGCTCATTATGGATAACAAGCTGGGCTATATTCAGTATACTGTCTAGTTTTGTCATAACCAATTTCATTTACCGGGTTATATTGGATTTTCGCTACTTTGGCGTGTTCCACGTCCTGTCCGTCTTCATAGTCCTGGGGATTGGCGCCGACGATGTGTTCGTATTTATGGACTCTTGGAAACATTCTAAACACGTGACCTCATTAGTTCCCAGGCTCTCACGGGTCTACAGTGACGCAGCTTCAGCCATGTTTGTGACGTCATTCACCACGACGGTCGCGTTCCTCTCCAGTTCCCTCTCACCGCTGCTCGCCGTATCGACCTTCGGAACCTTCTCGGCTTTGCTCGTCGCCGTAAATTATTTCTCGGTCGTGCTATTTCTACCATGCGTCGTCCTCATCCACGAACGTTACATAAAAACAAGTAACTCCAGCGCAACCTCATTCCCATGTCGAAAAGGCTGCAGTAACGCGTTCAACTCTTGTTTCCCTTGCTTTTCAAAGACTAAAAACACTGTCCATTCGGCTCAGGACAATTCCAATCCAGTTCCCAACATTCAACGCCCAACAGTAACTCAAAAAATCAGCAACTTTTTGCAAGGCCCATATTTTGAATATTTTGTCGGTCATAAGAAAGTACGGTGGATAATTTTGCTCATGTTTGCTGCCATCTTGGCAGTGTTTCTCGCGTTTGCTACATATATAAAACCGGACGAAAAACAGGTGAGGAACAGTAGAGACGGATCATTTTTTTCAGTAGAAACACAAGACGAACTATATCCATACGCACAAGTTGTAACAACCCTGCAGCAGACTTGTAGCAATGCTGTTCCAACAATTTGTAAACAGGATGTGTTCGCACTGCTTGTTCCCAGCTTGTTGACAACTCACTACAAGGTTGTTGAGCTCAACAACATTTATAATTATCTGTACTCAAGTCAAATGAACCAAACAAGAATAATTTCAATTTTTGTCATGTGGAAGAGTCATTTAGGGGACTTACCCGGAAAAAATTAACGCCTTTGGGTAAACCGTTGACTAACTCTTTTCCAGGCATAAGTGCCATGTACGTGTCTGTAGCGAAAATTGAACCCATCGGATCTCAGAGGTAAAATGAACTTGCTCTGACCACTCAATCTCGTACCCAGAGCAATGCCTGTGCGCGGGCTAGGATGGCATTGGCTCTGGGGAAATTGAATTTTTCCTGTGCTGTGATTGGTTTAACGTTTATCAATCGTGCATGCCGACAAAGAGCCGGAACCCCTAAATTTAGGGGTTTCGGTTGTCAATTTCCCCAGAGCCAATGCCATCCTAGCCCGCGCACAGACATTGCTCTGGGTACGAGATTGGTAAAATTGAAGCCAAGAATATTCCAGCGGTTACCCCCATTTGAATAGATGGCGGCCATGTTGAAGTTTCCCACTCGCTAATAAACGCTTAAAATAGGTTTAACTTAATGTTTAAGTTCCCTGTTTAAGAAATAGAAAACATACGAGTCTTCTCATTTCATGGGAATACTAGTATCCTGAGTCTGCAATCACGGCTTCAATTTTTGAATTGCAGAATAATTAGATGCACCATCTAGTGTATACAAGATATCTATGGTTGAAACCACTCGGTTACCGTTAGCACTATTTTCCATCCAGCAAACCTTTTCTTTTTGGATTTTTTTATTAATTCGGTTACGGTTAGGGTTAGATTTAGGGTTGCGGTTAGGGCACAGAATACTATACAGAAGTTCATCTCCATTGTTTTTTGCGTAAGCGTTATTCGTCATTATTCGTCACTCAGCAACACCGTAAACAGAAGCAGTCACCCCCTGGAAATATTCATAAGGACACACGTCCAGGGGGGAGACTGCTTCTGTTTACAGTACTTGCTGAGTGACGAATCATGACGAATAACATTTACGCAAAAAACAATGGAGATGGACTTCTGTATAGTATTCTGTGGTTAGGCCGGAGTTAGAGTTTGGGTTAGTTTACCCAATAAGCTTATATTCAGTTTTAAAGTGTTCATGTTGCACCCAAATTTTATTATAAAGCACTGACAAAATACTCTTGGCCACTTTATTATTTTAGCGATACCAAGTTAATTAAAGCCATTTTCGAACAAGGATGAGATATATTATTATAAGAAAGCTTCCGATTGATAGGGACAACAACCTGCCTGCAAGGAGAACTTCAACGTTAGTCGGAAAGTTACCAGTTAACTTCCCAACGAGGCCCTTTGCTCGAAACGTCGAAGTTCTCCTTGTATTTTTCAAGTAGTTGTATCTGTATCAAGCTTTCTTATTACATTGATTTGAATTACTTACTTACAATGGGCTATATATTACTATATACATTGTTCGTGTTTCGCCGATGTGCACTGAAGCTACATTTTGTCGATTTTTTACAATATTTACATAGATGCGTAAAAAGATTGCTCCTCTCTAAAAGACTTTAGTCTAAATTTTCAACTAAAGTATTTGGAATTAAGCAAGAACAGTGACTTCATCTCCAACATGAATTGTCCCAGAAATATCGACAGCAAAGAAATTTCCAAACAAAGGCTTCTGTCTATGTCTTGGATCATCACTTTTAGATACACGTATTCTGAATAAGAGAAAAGAGAATGGTTGACTGACTCAGATTGCTCACTGACAGACTGACAACTGACTGTCGATTTGTCCACTGACTGGCTCATTTGTATAGCCACATTAGTAAACAGATATATAATTGTCATGGGTGACTCCCTATAATTCATGGTGAAAACAACAGTACAGAACGACTAATTGTGGCTTGACTTGACTTGCTACTCGGAGTGAATGGCTTGTGGCTCGACTCGACTTGGACTTGCAAAATAAAAACTTGTTAACAACTCTGTCAGCCGACCGATTGACGCAGTACTGAGTACTGACCATTGAAGTGGTACTGACTGACAATGTATGAAAATTGAGAAATATTGAGGTAAATCACCTTTTTAGAGTCTTAAACGGTTCCCCATCATGTCGTTTCACACCAGCATCCATGTCAACAGTTGTTAATGTACATCTGAATGAGACAATAGTGTTGTTATCAGATAGAGTGGTCAATACCAGGATGAGAGTTGCTGAAACTGGCAACTCTTGCAGAGTCTTGCTCGCGTTTCATCGCCAACTCTCATCGACTCTTATCAACTCTCATGCAACTCTTGTTCAATCTCGTTCGACCTACCAGAGCATGAGAGTTGAGAAACCTCTCATGCAAACTCTCGCTTCTCTACTCTCATCAACTCTCGTGCAAACTGTCGCTTCTCGACTCTCATCAACTCTCATGCAAACTCTCACTTCTCTACTCTTATGCAAACTCTCACTTGTCAACTCTCATCATGCAACTCTTATGCAAACTCTCGCTTCTCGACTCTCAACAATTCTCATGCGAACTCTCGCTTCTCAACTCTCATTCTCGCCGTTAACCAGGGCTTTAGGACATATTATGTGCAGACCTGGGATTTTGTCGCAATTTTCTCAACAGAACATTGCCAATTTGCACAGACTGCCACGAGTCTTCTTCAAATGAGAAGCAACCTTCAATAAAGATGTTAGGTCGGAATGCTCGAATGTCAACTGGGTTTTCCAACTCTTCGTTTACAGCGTCTAACGACTCCTTGGATACCAACATGACTGGAGCATCACATTGGTAAATCATCTAAAAACAGAGTTAGGTTGGTGTAACCTGGATGTTATAAGTTAAATCACCTCTATTTGCAACCAGAGTCCGATTCTTACAATATGGCGGCAGTCCCTGCAGTTGTCTGATTATAATTTTGCATCAGACTAACTACCATGCTGGTCTTCTCAAGGTACTCCGGTTTCCTCATCATGTAATTGTAATACTGAATAAAGTGATGAACATAGATGGCTCTTACTCGACATCTAGAGAGAATAGCTTGCTTAGATCTGCTGGTAGAGCTGTCTAGTATATAAATGCACAAGTGGAGACGACCCTCTATAAAAGTGAAATCATCCGGCAATTCTAACCTTATCGCCGGGCTGCACTGAGTTTCCCCAGACAGCATCGTCTTTCAATTCTCGACGTTTTAAACATTCACTACGTCCATTGAACAATCTAAGGCCAGATTTTCCCAAATACTCATCAAACCACTTGTGAACCTCATCTCCACAGTCAAAACCTTCACCATGAACGCCAAAAATACTATAATCAAGACAAGTATAGTTTTTCACCGTGATCCTGGAGGGAGAGGGTGCCCCTTTAATATATTTGATTTGTTTATTGCAGGATTGGCAAATAAAACTACCATGCATTGGGAAAAAAAGTTGCGATATATTAGGCCATGTTGTGGTTTAACACATTTTAAGCCATAATGTGCTTTACTTTGCTATTTTATTGGCCAATGCCACTGTCTCCTCGATTATTTTAAGACCTTGAGTAGAGGCCCGATCAAGAATTGAACCCGGATTTCCCAGCTCGAAAAACAAGCGTGGTGACCACGACATGCATAAATGACTTACACGAAATTTACAAATCACACGCACATGATCTGTACAAATAAGGGAATGCTATTGGCTACCTTAATTGTGACGTATTCCGTGCGTCTGTCCTCTAATAGATATCATGGCTCTCGACCATTGAAAGCGCTTGAATTCTTAACGTTATTATATAAAGTATTAATAGACTATAAAAATAACAATTCATAATAGACTATTAAAATAGTCTCTAAAAGGCTTTGGATAACAATTTACATCACCTACTCAAGCATGCTTTTTTTCGCTTTGCTTTCGTCGACATCCAAGTCAAGTTTAAGCGTCGGCATACCAGGAGCATCAAGACATAAATATTTTGTTCCTTCGAAGGACGGCTTGATCAAAGCCATTCTTGGTAATTGACGCATTGTCTGTAGAATTCCTTTTGAGTTGAACAATGCCCATGACCTGAATAGAAGCAGTTCAAGATGTAATCATGTCACTGTTAGAGTCTCATTGAGCCTGCGTGGCAGGCTACTATTAGAGAGCATATACCGAAGTAACATAAAAACCTTCCAATCCCCCGGGGGACTGCAGGGTAGTTTGATAGCACGAGGAAGTTGTTGAGGGGATTTCAACAAAGATAAATAGGGGCCTTAAGCCCTGTACAGTGTACAGATGAACAAGTTTTCTTTGAAAGGTTTTACTTTCTCGTGTGTACGGTCAACAAGTTTCCCTTGACAAGTTTTGTTGCTCATGTACACGGAATGATGTTAAACATATGTCACGTCACGTCACGTCACGTCACGTCACGTCAAGACAAACTTTTCTTTCCCAAAATTATAGAAGTATTTCTTGTACACTTAATTGTCAAGTTTTCCTTGGCGGCCGTACATAGTACGAATGGTCGGGAAGTTTCTATATAGTATAGCCACAACGAAGGGTCTTCGCTCGAAACGTCGAAATTCTGCTTGTATATCAATCGTTACGACCTATACACTGGTACAGTGTATAGGTCGTAACGATTTGAGATTGTGATCTCAAACGGGATCTCATAAACTTAAGCCTTTTATATTATATTTAAGTATCCAGGAGCTAGGAAACTCATATTCTATCAATTCTAAACCCTTCTAGCTATAAAACGGTGTAAACTGCATGCACGGAAATTGTCCAGTTTATATATGGTTCAGTGCGAGTAAGTTAAAGAGATGGTTGGTGGTTTGCTATTTTCCCTCTTTCTCTAAACAGCTTCGATTGAATAGTTCCAAAAATGTTTCACGGGAATAAAAATGTTAATTCGTGCTTCAAGAAAATTACCTTTACCACACTCTGTAACAGTGGCGGCGCCAGGCTTCCAAATTTGGGGGGGCATTTGAGGGGCAAACTCAAATTTTGGGGGGGGCAAGATCGAATTTTTAAAAAGGTGGCCCCCCAGGAAATTCGCCCCCCCCCCCTCAAAACGTGGCGAATATCCTAGGAATATCGTCTCCCAGGGAGGTGGGGCGAATACCCTAGGAATATCGCCCCCCATATATGCGATGTGGTTTATTCAAATAATTTCGTGATACTTTCATCTTATTATTGCCTTACACGTTTGAGAATTTAACTCTGCCAAACTAAAGCTTTTTTGTCTTTTTTTGGAACGTATTATTGGAGTATTGGCAAGTTTTACCATTCAGAGATTTACAAACTAATATTGAAACTGTAAAAAACAGTTTCATGTATACGCGCATTCACAAATGAGTAATGACAACTTATAAGCCATACATTTTCCGATAATGACAGAACACTTGTGTAGCCTTTAGTCGCTCTTAGTGACTAATAATTTTTTTTGAGGGGGGGCAAAATGGGGGGGCAAAAAATAATTTGGGGGGGCATTTGCCCCCCCCTTGCCCCCCCCTGGCGCCGCCACTGCTCTGTAAACGTTTACACCTGCAAACGTACAAGCTACATACCTATCCAGTAGCACGCCGATTTTCGTGATCTCAACTCGCTCTAATTTGATTCCAGCGCATGATTTAACCGGGTGAATATACAAGGACTTGACTGCACCTCTCTTGCCCAGTTTTTTACGGTAAAAATAGCTGTAGGCCAAACCAAGGCCTAAACCACAAACGACTGAGCTGCCAAGCGCTACCAATGACAATGTTCTAAGTTCGGCATTCATGACGATAAAAGATCGTTTTATCCTTCTGAGTTTTCTGAACTGTGCATGTGATTTTATAGAACATGTTATGTTAAATTACGTGATTACAAAGAGCGTCACTAACTACCAAACGTCAGTGAGTACGGGGAGTCTCTATAAATTTCACGTGAGACGTGATGGAGTTATTTTTGCTCCGTGATTGGCCATCGGTATGGTTGCAAATATTTTTTTACGTGCACTTGAAATCTCGAATTAACAGGTTTAACCTGGATCGGTAAATGAAGGATGGATATAAACGTGATTTGTGAATCGGTTGTTTTACCACAATTATGCGAACAATTTTTCAGAATTGAATAGAGTTTTTGTCACTTTATATATATATATATATATATATATATAGATGCCCACAATCCTGATATTTATCAATACTCTTAGTACAACGGAGTAATACTTATCCATAAATTTCTTTTGCAATCAGTTTACATGAATCGTGATTGCCTCGATTTCTTTGTGAACGTGAAAGAATCTTTCGTTAACTCTCGTGAAAAGACTACATATATTTTACGTGATGCATTTTGTGGAGAAGTGTCTGTGTCGAGGAGTGTCGAAACGTCGACATTTTCCTTCTACTTTTCAGGTAGTTGAATCCCTTTCAAACTGCAGCTCTCTAATGTCAAAGTATTGAACTGTTCAATCTTTATTTGTGTTTTATACTTAAAAATAATTTATAGAACATCTAGAACTAATTTAATTAAAGCGAGTGAACCATGCGGAAACTATTTGTTTTTTAAGCAACTTTGGCATATTCAAATTGACTGAACAGTTGAATACCTTCATACCGGCTATTCTAATTTCTAATTCAGTCTAATTCTATTCTATAGCACATGTATTTTCCCAATCCATACTTCCTTCTAACTTCCCGACAAAGGGCCTTCAGCTTCGCTCAAAAGGTCGAAATTTTATTTGGTATAGTTTTGAGGTATAGTTGAATCCCTCTTAACTGCAGCTTTCTGGCACAGACCGTTGGATATTCTAATTCTTCCAGTCTCAGTTACAACAAAAATCACGCGTACATGATCTATACAAATAAGGGAATGTTATTGGCCACCTTAAAGTCACGTGCTGTGTTGTGATTGGCTGAAGAGAACAATAATAGTTTTGTGTGACGTAATTCTGTGCGTCTGTAATTCCGATAGTTATGTGTGTGACGTAATTCCTTGCGTCTAATAGATCATGCATGGCTCTCGACCAATAGACCTTCTGCATAATGACGTCACAAGGCTTGATGCCCGCGAGGAATGCTGGTCTTATACTAACTGAATATCTAACACTTTTCTGGTTCGCAATTGTAAATTAATATAAACTAGAGTATGTTTCAATTCAAAAAAGTTCGAAAGATGCAAAATTTGGGCAATGTTTATATCTGTGGGTCCCCCTTTGTTATGAGCAGAACTGATGCGCAGAGCGGACTTGACATGGTCTTTAACGTTATTGTGTGATACCATTTACACCGTCATCTCCGACAAATCAAAATATATAAAAAATAATCAACAGAACTTTTTTACAGATTCAAAATTACAATAAGTTATATATAATAACATTTAACATTTAATATCCATCTTTGGTTAAAAAAGTACAATGGATTTACAAAAAGTGCTAAGGTTAAAATTGATAAGAAATTTTACTATTATTTACATCAATGTTGCTAAAAATGTTTATACTAGTTATATATTCTATAAAATTAATTTACGACTGTTTTAAAAGGGATATAGCTCTAGGTATAAAGGATTGCCGGTGTCTTTTAGTATACGATACAACATATGGTAGATTATTTGTTGTTCTTAGATCGTGTTCATGGGTAAAAAGTTGGGGGATAAGTTTATTACATGGGTTGGTCGGATCACTTAGAATTCTTTGGTATTCCTTAACAGTTAGGTGTGCCCTTCTTTGTTCTAGCGTTTCAAAGTTGCACCGAGATGTGCCGAGGATTTTGATGCATCTGTTTTGAATGCTCTCTATTTCATCAATGAGATATTGTGGTAAACCACCCCATATCGGAGCTGCATATTCTAAAACAGGTCTAATCTTGGATTCATAACATGTAATACCGACCTCAGGAGGAAGATTCGCCCTACGGCATTCTCTCAGACTAAACATTCGTTTTTTTGCTTTCCTTACAATGTTCTTGACATGACAGTTCCATTTCAAATTGTTTTGATGCCAGACACCCAACAGTTTATGAGAATTTACTCTTTCCACTACCTCGTTTCCAATGACCAATGGTTCTGGTGCCGGTATTGCTGTGTTAAAACATATCCACATATCTTTTGTTTTCTTCGAATTTATCGTCATTTTGTTCCTATTAGACCATTCTTGTACTGCTTCAAGGGCCTCCTGCATATGGCTGGATGAACCTTGTGACACCACTTCGTCCTGTGTACAATCATCCGCGTATTTGCATATATTTATGGATAATCCATCTGGGATTGAGTTCTCAATAGGGCCATTTATACATGACAAAATAAGTCGCGACTTACATAAGACGCGACTTAAATAAGCGGAGTTATCGCATAAATGGTTCTCTACGGTTTTGGTCTTATTTATTTGCTATAGCTATAATGTTGTTTTGTTTGTTTTTGTTTTAATATGCAAGGCTAATAATTTTACGTTGTTTCAAGTTTCTGGCATGTGTAGTTAGACTTTTTGTCCAAAATTTCTTATTTAAGACGCGACTTAAATAAGAACAGCTAAAAGACCTGGGGCCGGTTGTATAAAAAAGTGATTAAAGTTAACTATAGTTAGTGGAAACGTCATCCAATAAGAAGCGCGTATTTGAGAGTTAATCACTATTTAACTACAAAATAGTGATTAAAAAGTAATTAAGAGTTTTATACAACCGGCCCCAGTTCTTATGTAAGACGCGTCTTATCCAAGACGCGTCTTACATAAGAATTTTGTACCTTTTATACGACAAACTCGCGTCTTACCTAAGTCGCGTCTTATGTAAGTCGCGTCTTATTTTGTTCCGTATAAATGGCCCTAATATCGTTAATGTGAATATTAAAAAGAGCGGGGGACATCACAGAACCTTGTGGGACTCCTGCAGGACAAGGTTTGACCGATGATAGGGTTCCTGCTAGTTTGACCTGTTGTCTTCTATCTTCCAGAAAGCTACGTTTCCATAGCCAAAAGGCTTTGGTTACATTCATTTCTGCGAGCTTACGAAGTAGAATTCCGTGGTCAACAAGGTCAAACGCTTTGCGAAAATCTATGAATAGTGCATGAACTCCATTTTTGGCGCTATGCGTATTGTCGGTCACATTAAACCAGTTCTGCGAGATGTTGGTGAGTGCGGACACGGTTGATCGTTTGCTTGTAAAGGCATGCTGATTATCATTTATACGTGAACTGGGAAGGTTCAGTTTGAGCTGCAGCTTTTCCAGCACTTTAGCCATTTGGGGAAGAATGGATATCTGGCGAAAGTCATTCTCGATATCTCTTGGTGGATTGACCTTCGGAACTGGGATAACTAAGGCGTGTTTATACGCAGTTGGATATTCACATTCTTTTATACTGGCGCAAATAATGTCATGAACGATGGGCGCTAGTTCTTCACAGTATCGTTTAAGCACCCATGCTGGAATCCCATCGGACCCGGTAGCTTTTTTAGAGTTTAGTTGTTTCAAGGCAGTCTTAACCTGTCCAATTGAGGGAGTAGGAGGATTTTCTTGCCTCAGTGATGACGCTACGTCTTCAAGACTAGGGATTATGGTTTCAGGAAGTTTTGACCATGGTTTAGTAAATATATTCTGCAGTATTTCCACTGTATCGGGCGTGCCGTCTGAGATTAAGTTGTTGTTTAGATTGTCACCTTCAAAGCCAGCTAACTGGGATATCGTTATAAGTTACTAGTATTATTCATATTTCTGAACCCTCCCTACTCAGGAAAGTGTACCAGCTAAATATAGCAAAATCTTTCGTGCAACAAAAACGCAACAATCCATTATAAAGTCTCAAGGAACAGCCAAGTCTTGTAATTACCCATAATTGGCCGACACAATATGGACCGATTCAAAAATAGTTGTCAATTTTAGTGCTAGTTTTAGCAAGCAAGCAAGCCAAACTAATCTTAGTCTGCGGTAGCAGGCGTTTAATGCGGGCGGGAGAAGAGAGGGCGTCGTTAATCTCGTTTTGGTGCTTTTGCACATTTCAAAGCCACCAAGGCAAAGGGCTATAATTTCGCTGGCATGGATTGTTGTCAATCTTAAATTCTTACAGTTTGCCATAAATAATCTTTGTTGAAAAATTGTGTATTAGCCTGCTATTTATTAACCCACAAAATAATGCAGAGTTGTGGTAGCTAGTTTCCGAATCGGTCAATATTCAGTAAATAAATACACCCTTCGGAATAATACTTAGCTTGGCTATAGCGCTTCGTTTACGGGATATCGCATTATCGGCTTTAGAATGATCTTGTTACAGAATACAGCCATTGCAGGTGACATATTTACGAAATAATTTTATATTACATAATACAGAAGAGCTTTATTTAATGAAGTCGTCGGCAACAAGACAAAGGACTCTAAAGTCAATATCTCCATTCCGAAAATTAGGTTCTATAGTGTTCTACAGCCAAGGCGAAGTATTTTCCGGAAGGGTGTTTTGAACATTTTCGCCATTTTTGGGGTACTGTCTTCCCACGTCGAAGAATTTATGTGTCTATACCGGTATAGTAGAGACCGTTTAGCGTTTGAAGCTTACGTTTGGCGTATAAATTTAATGCTTTAAGGACTACAAACCCTCGTAGCAGTCAAGCATAAAATTTATACGCCAAACGTCAACTTCAAACGCCAGATCTTAATTTACTGCTTTGGTGAATACGCGACTAGTGGTTAATTTGCTTTTTTAAATCATTGCCAAAGAGCACAAGTTTAATAATTGTTTAATATATTTCAAAACTGGTGTAAAAACTGTTATAATAGAGTTGTAATATCAAACACTTCGTTAGCGGTTTGACGTTTGCCGTAAACGTCAAGCTTTGTTTTCTGCCTGTTACCGTTGTCGGTTTCCAAACTCTCAAATAATACAGTTGCAACTTTAAATTTGAAAAGTCGCTTTGTTGATATTAAGCCTGGTTGCCATTAAATCGTAATCATTGCAATAGTCGCGGAACGCAGACATCGCTATCGCAAAAATCGCAGTAATTCTATCTTTGCGACATTGTCGTAACAGTCTTATAAGGTTATCGGCGTAACTCAAGTTTCCAATAAATCGCAGTTTTTATTAAAATTTTCGCGTTTTTAAAATCGTTGCGACTCTTGCGATGCGGTTCTTGCGATAATTACGATTTAAATAAAACTTTGGTAACCAAAACTTATCTTTCTTTGAAACAACCTTAACTCCTTAAGAAGCAATGGTCTGTGACTACGAATTAACATGAAACATGCACCCACACATTTTAATTGTTGAATGTTGGCGTGGTCATGAACCGTGCAAATGATGTAGCAGTTTGAACAACTACGGTGTACTAGAATGCTCAAGGAAATATTTTATATAGTCGCCTTTGAATAAGAATTCTATTGTTGATAATCACGTCTTCATAGGCATTGCCGTTGTATTTGCCAAATTCACTATTGTACACACAACTAGAGTGACAAATGGTCGCAATTCGCGGTGGGTATACACTCTCAAACTTGGGGAGGTGCAATAACCGAGAAATGGCAAATAAATTCAGCACGAGAAAGGCGAATATCAAGTTTACATACAGCATACACTCATAATGGCTTTGACATCTGTATGATAAAACACTGTGTCGAGAAATTACTCCAATCCCCACTTTCCCCCGATGAAAATAACTAACAAATTACAAATATATATATTATAAATCTGTTTAAAACGCCCGTGCAGCATTGCGTTGTCACTGGCCACTGCAGACAAATTATTTTTACAGTTTGTTCGTACAGCAAATTTATTATTCTTCTTCGTCATCAGATTCTGCTAGCAGATTAATCAAATCATTGTTCAACAATCTTGGATGACTTGACTAAAAGAATTACAAGATGTTGTTTGTAATGTTACTGTGAGTGTGCATCCACACCGGGCAAGCTGAAGTTTACCTGACCACGGTGGGAATCAAACCCGCGACCTTTGCCCTTTGGGATACTAGACCAATGCTCTACCAACTTAGCTACGAGGTCAAGTCGGTTCGAGTTGGTGATATTTCGGAGTCTAGTTCCTTCGAGTTCGATATCAATCTTTATTAAACATAATCATTGGGGTCCGATGCTGGTAGTGTTCTACAATAAGCTGCAATGGTTTGTGAAATAAACTCGAACGGTCTGCGTAGGTGGTGACAAATAACACCAGACAACTACGCGCGGATTGATATGGATTCAACTACTTAAAAAACACAAGTAAAATCGACGAAGGGCCTTCTTCGCTTGAAACGTCGACGTTTTACTTGTATTTTTTAGCCGCTCCGCAGTTTTTTGATGCAATGGTTTGTATCTGAACTATTAGAAAATGATATTTCAAAAGTAGAGGTGCAGTGTATGGTCCGAACTATCCAAATCTTGGCCTAATTATATAAAAAAATCCTACTAACCTTTCCTCCAAATCGTACTTTAATTAATTTTCTTCGTCGACAAGCTCGGACCAAGACGACGCCAAATGCAATGGCTAAAGCTACACCAGTTCCAATTGCTACAGGAACTATGAAGTCCCAAAGAACTGCTTCTTTGCCCTGTATCCAATGTAAACAGAAATGATAAATTTGCATCAAATTTGATTTCATTTAAATACAGTTAAAATCTTCTTGTTATGTCCTTGCAGTCCAAATTCACTGGCAACTTTTTAACATTTTAAACCGGTGGTCTCCCCTTAATGAGTAACATCATCTGGCACTTAGACAGAATAAAATAATCTGGCATTGGACAGAGTAAAATAAGGCATATTAGGGTAAGGTAACGCATATTAGGGTACAATACAACTCAATGGGTAATCTACAATGTTCTCTACTTTGTTATTTTACTCTGCCTAATGTCAGACAATTTTGCTGGTCGAGGGTAAAGTGTCATGTTTTAATGGGTAAATCTGACTCTCTGCCCATGTCTGTCAATAAACCTTTAAGCCACAATGTGCCCAATATTGCCTACTTTATTATTTTATTCTGTCTATTCAAAGAAGATTTCAACTCATCATGAGGGAGATGATTGCCAATGTGTTTTGTAAAGATTGCCCTGAAGCTATACTTTGTTAACCATGTCTTATGCCAAACAGTTTTGATCATAAAAGGGTCAAGTGCTGGGCATTAGTGGATTAAATATCAATAATTTTTTAAATGTTTGAAAATAAAGCTATAAGATTACCTGATCTGGAGGGGGCATTCTTCCCTCGTCTAAAAAAAATTGAAAACAATTTAGAATTTCCAATAAATATTTTCTTTCAATAAAACATACTAGGAACAAACAATCTCTTAAACACATAAAATATTATGGATTTTTACCATTTTGATTTCTTGCTTTGGTTTTCACAGCTATTGGTTTTTTTGTTGCTTCTTTTTTCATTGTTGCTTTTTTCGTTGCTGCTTTTGTTGTTGCTGCTTTTGTTGTTGCTGCTTTTGTTGTTGCTGCTTTTGTTGTTTTTGACTTCACATTTGTTGTTGGTTCTTTAGGAACTGTAGTTGTAGCTTCCTTTGTCGTTGGAGCGACAGAAATAACCTTTGTTGATGGTTTTTCTGTTTTTTCAATTCCTTGTGTTGTAGGCTTTCTTGTACTTTGTTGTGTTGATACTTTGGTAGAAGGTTTTTCACTACTTGCATGGTTTGATGTAGACTCTGGCGCTTTAACTGTCGTTGGTGGTAATGATGATACTGGACCAGTTGACAGTACTGTTGATGGTTTACTAGTAGATGGTAGTTTTTGAGATGTTGGGCTGGATAGTTTTGTACTTGCACCAGTAACTGTTACTTTTTGTGTTGTTTGGGTTGATGGTACTTTTGTACCACTTGTTGATGGCACTTCTGTTGCACCCTCAGTGGATGGTGCATCAGATGAATGCTGGGTAGATTGTGTCCCTGGATTAGGAGCCTTGGTAGACAATACCACAAAAGAACTCTCGGTAGATGGTGCCACAGAAGAGCTCTGGATAGTTGGTGAATTAGATAGTTTTCCAGAAGGAACCTGGGTGGATGGTGTCCCAGAGGGATGACGAGTAGATGGTGCCCCAGATAACTTCTGGGTAGATGGTGGATTAGAAGATGGAGCAGCTGAACTAACAGCAACTGTTGGCTTGACCATTATGGTAGCTGACTTACTTGGGTTTAAACTCGCGGAAGCAGAACGAATTGCAGAAAGCTTTAAACTGCCCTCAGAGGGGGTCTGTGTGAGGGAAAGCTTTAATGACCTTGTATACGTGGCCAAGCCTATCCCACTCGAATTTTTCGGGACAATTTTGATTGTTTGACTTGGATTTATTTTCATGTTTACACTACGGCTTCGAATACTTGTCAAGATGAGGGTATTACCTGTCTGGACTGCTGTCGTCGCAATAATCGCTACATTTTGTCGCGACGCTGTAGTTGTTAAATTTTTCGTCTTGTTTTGAGCATCAGTTGTGACATTTTGATTAAACGTTGAATTATTGAAAGGTTCAGGGCTCTTTGTCGTATTATTTGGCCCAAGGCTGGTAGAATTAGTCGTTGGAATTGCCGAAGCGGTTGTAGAGGCATTTCCAGCTGAATTCGCGGTGCCTGAAATGTCTGAAATCGGTTCAATACTGGCATCGCCAGCTTTTCCTGTCGTGTCCCTCTCAGCCAAGCTAAGCGGTTGGTTTTCAGCAGGATCATCCTTTATGCCAAATCCAGTATCTTGCTCGCGAAATGGGTGACCATTTATAGCAGTAAATATAAACGTTAATAAAGCTAGGCCAACAAGAACGAGCCATTGTCGTTCGCCGTTCATGACGAAGCGTTTATAAAACCACTTAAAAACTTTAATGTTCTATCATTCAAGGTTTAAAAACCTTTAAGATCTTTCCTTCTCACACAATATCAGTAATATTTCCCAAAATAAAATCGATATATTCACTCCAAATTTGAAAATCCGATGTTAAATACAAAGGTCGTGTTGTCTTGATGGGGCATTTGCGACTTATATCGGCTTGGAATGCAATTACGTGGGCGGGCATAAATTAGTAAACAATCTAAAAAATCAATATAGCGGAATAATTAACATAAATTATGTTAATTCGAGAGGAAGTTTCGAGAGTGTTTCGTAGGTAGTTTCATGTGATTGGCTGAGCAAATTACACGTAAAACATGTCAAAAAGCTCTTGGGCAACATTAATTACAGCAATCGTATTTATTATTTTTACAATTAATTCTCCATAAAAAGTAGTTCGCTACATTCAGTTTCCAAAAACCCGCAAAACACTTCAAAATGATGGTTTGTACCGTCCAAACAATGGATCTTATATTTTGAACCCAATCCCCCAAATGATGGAAACACGCAACCGTAGAAAACTCGACGTATTCTCGAGTGGAGCAAAGCCATCGCACACCTAAAACAGTAAATTGGAAAAAGTTGGGGTTTCACCCACTTATCATTATTTGAGTGTTGCATTTTTTTGTGGAAGTGCTGAAAGCTAAATTCGCTACTTTTCACATGTCCTTCAAAAGTGCGCAAAAACATTGGAAACTGACTGACCGGCACAAGTAAAAACGCACAAGTTGTCACAAATCTGTTCACTCGGCAAGCTGTCGACAAATATAGCATTTGTAAATTCTGAACGCTGATTGGCTAAGAGCCGTGTTGATATAACTCAATGTCAACACGGAAACGTCGGAAAATTTCTTTATATTTCTTTGTGCTATATCATAAAACAAATATAAAACATTTTTTCCGTATTGATATATAGTTATATCGACACTCGTGGAAATTGGGAAAACTCGAAATTGTGTAAAAACACTCCGCCCTTCGGGCGTCGTGTTTCCACACAATTTCTCGTTTTCCCAATTTCCACTCGTGTTGATATAACTGTATATCAACACGGAAAATTTTTATATTTGTTAAATATAACAATATTGGTTGTAACAATATTGTTATATCATGACTATATTGGACTTGTTGGAACAACAAGTCTGATAATGCCAACAACGTTGTTACAAGTTGTTAACAGCTTGTTCCAAACTTGTTGACAACTTGGGACAAGCAGGTCGAACACAACTTGTTGACGACTTGTTGGCAGACTTGCAGAAGATGTGAGATTTTTGCAGAAGAACGTGAACAGAAGATGTGAAGAACGTGAACAGAAGATGTGAAGAACGTGAACAGAAGATGTGAAGAACGTGAACAGAAGATGTAAAGAACGTGAACAGAAGATGTAAAGAACGTGAACAGAAGATGTGAAAACGTGAACAGAAGATGTGAAGAACGTGAACAGAAGATGTAAAGAACGTGAACAGAAGATGTAAAGAACGTGAACAGAAGATGTAAAGAACGTGAACAGAAGATGTAAAGAACGTGAACAGAAGATGTGAAGAACGTGAACAGAAGATGTGAAGAACGTGACAGAAGATGTGAAGAACGTGAACAGAAGATGTGAAGAACGTGAACAGAAGATGTGATGATGAACAGAA